CACACACACACACACTAAAACAGGTGTGTTGGGTTTAAAAGGCACGCGAGGACATTTTTCTATTGCGGTTGTTGGTTTTCTTTTAGAGTCTGTTTGTTAGTGAAATAACTGCTGTTGTGAGACAGTTTTGATTGTTTTGTTGTTTATTACCTCCCACTGTGGCGAAGGGCTGTAACCGATAGCGGATCAATCAGTTAGTCGACAGTCCGAACATCGCCGGTTCCAACTTTTGTCATTTTGTATTTGTCTGATGTGAAAGTGAACGTTCAGACCGAATAAACCATCTGAAGACGTCCTCTTTGGGCTCTTGGAACTTGTGATGGACATTTGTCACTTTGTTTTCTACATTTTAGATCAAATTATTAATAAACAAGTATTTTGCAGATGACTTGATAATGGAGGTAAATCATTAGTTGCAGCCCTGCTCTGGTGGAGCCACAATAACGGTAACAAATGCAGTTTTTGTTTTTTGGATGTTATTTTTGATGTAGTTTTGAGTTTTGGATTTTGTAGAGTGTCTCCTGTCAGCTGTCCTGCTCCTCCTTCACTCATTTCACTGCACACATCCTGAGGAAACCCTGAGACACACTCACACTCAGAAAGTCTGCGAGGACTCGGTGCCGTCCTCCGGTTCAGATGGAGCAGAGTCGAGACCTCTTACAAACTTTTTGAGACCTTTGTAGACGATCCTGCAGACGAAGAACAGTTCAGTTATTCAATTCATGTGAGATCTGTTGCTGAACATTTATTGAAGAAAAGGATCAGATTTTTCTTGCGTTTGAACATCCCGTTTAGAGACAACAAAGCTGAAGAGTTAAAAATTCTCTTCTTCCAACTTCTCAAATGTGAATATTTTCTGGTTTTCTTCGTCGTAGGAAAATCACATGAGCAGATCAAATGCATTGAACCCACTTGTAGAACTCATAATCAGATCTGTGGACAGGAAATGAGTGAAGAGAAGTCAGAGTGGTGTCGGATGTAAAACCGCCCTTTAACCCCGTCACCCTACATGTAAACCCCAGTGCTCACAGGGTCTGGGGGGTCGAGGGGTCCAGTGTTAGCCAACAGGCTGGATTATCATGAACAAGCTCACAGCAGCGATCTCCAAACCCCTTAACGTGTGCCTGTTTTCTACTTTTCTGTTTGTAAGTTTGTTTACTTCAGGCTCCTCTCTGCAAACTTATTTTCAAAATCAGAAAAATAATTTACCAAATAGTGAATCTGAGTCTTTTTCTTTGTTGTTGTTGTTTTCTTTTGTTTTTCTTTGGATTGTACAAATGTTGAACTGGCTGAAGCACTGGTGTAAATACTGGCTGATGGATGATGAACTGAGAGCGACATTACCAAGCTAATTTATTTGAATGACAGATTGGGGTTTAAACAGGGGATTATGTGCACTGTTTTTTTTATATACTACCACTAGGGGGCGACACTGACTCACTCTGCAAGTCTTCCAGTTCCTGTACTTCTGTGAATAACTGGCCTCAGAGTTTGGATGTGAACTGTTGCTGCGTGTCCTTTAATTTACTGCAGACACTCAGAACAAACAGCAGGAACAGGAAGCACATGGTCCAGATACACAGCTGAGGCTGGTTGGTACCACTCCAACATCCACAGAGAACTGAGCTGAGCTCCACGTTTTTGTTTCTTTTTTAAAATGATGGGGCTGTCATTCTTGGGTAGAAGCTCATACTTTTATCTGCTTTTAAATGTGCAGGAAATAAACTTTGATGATTTACTGTAAGTCTGGTGTTTTGTTTATATGTGTGTGTAATAGATACTGTTATATACAAATTCTTTCAGTTAAGAAAACATGCACTGTAGGTTATTATTGATTTATTGTTGCTGATTAAAACCACCCAACACTATAAAAAGTAGTTAGCCTAATTTAATAAATTGTTAAAACAATAATTCAGTCATTCTGGTGCCCAATGAGTTCTCTACCTTCTGATACTTTAAAGGTCCAGTGTGTAACATTTAGGAGGATCTGTTGGCAGAAATTAAATAAAATCTTCCTAAGTATGTTTTTGTGAGTGTATAATCGGGTTAATATAAAGCTGTGTTTTTGTTACCTTAGAATGAGTCGTTGGTATCTACAGACAGCACGGGTCACATGGAGTCCGCCATGTTGAACCTTCATGTTCCTACAGTTTTTCACTTGTAGTGGAGTAATTTAAGTATGGTTACTTCTACTCGAGTAAAAGATCTGAGTTCTTCTGCCACAGCGAGCGGTGGTGGGTCCAGACTGTTTTTAACTGGGGTGAGCTGTGTTTAAGGCAGACCATACAAATGCATTATACAGTGAAGCTTCCATATGATCCTCTTTCAAGTCCTCAAAAATAAATGAACACAAGCTGTGTGTACCAGCTTCAATGACTTTAGCGTAGTGTGTGGAGTGTGTCTATGTAATGTGTGTATGTGACTCTCATTGACAGGCCGTTCAAAAGATATTACAGTTAAGAAAAAATGCATTGTAGATTATTATTGATTTATTGTTACAGATTAAAACTGCCCAACACTGTAGTTTATATTAAGTCATATAATATTAATTTAATAAATTGTATTTAACAATAATACAGTCATTATTAAACTTAATTAAAGTTGATATTAAATAATATTGTTATGATCATATGAATCAAATAAACGGTACAGACCTTTGCAATTCAAGCAGAGGTAGGTGATGAGGAAGAAACCTGGATTTAAAAGAATACACACACAATTACCAGTTAATAATTAAAGGAGGAACACCGACCATGTGGTACAGATACCAAACATAAAACCAGGACGATAAAAAAAACAGACAACAAACCCTAAAAGAGAGAGAAGAGAGAAGAGAGAGAGACGAGAGACAGAGAGAGAGACAGAGAGAGACAGACAGAGAGAGACAGAGACAGTGAGAGAGAGATTGAGATTGAACCACAGAGACAGACAGGGGAGAGAGAGAGACAGAGATGAGAGAGGGAGAAGAGAGAGACAGAGAGAGAGACAGAGAGAGAGAGACAGAGAGAGAGAG